AGAACCATAGCTCGTGTGGGTTGGTGTCAGCGAATCCGTAACGAGGCAGTTAGAAAGCGTGTTTTCGGTTGTGTAACGGGTACTTCCATTGAAGAATGTGTCCAGCACCAGAAGCTGCGTTGGTTGGGACATGTTTTACGCATGCCGAATCATCGTTTACCGAAAAGAGTACTATTTTCTATACCCAATTCGGAGTGGCGTAAACAGAGAGGTGGCCAACCCATGACCTGGCAGAGGAGTATGAAGGAGATGACGAAACGCTTGGGTGCTGTCGGTGCTACTCGCCTTCCAGGATGGGGACCGCGTGATCCTCACTGTGCCTGGTTGGAGACACTACAAGATATGGCTGCCAACCGATGTCAGTGGCGTTCTTGTTGTCAGTTTCTATCCAGATTGCCTGAGTGAATGTCTGGAGGTGTGGGCACCTCGGAATGATTGTGTTAAGCTAGCACTAAGTCCCTCCCCCATCCACCTTTATTCTTTTCTTTACAATAAGCAAATAAAATAAGTCATGGCTGTACGGCAGTGAAGCATTGGTGTTGAGCACTGATGTCATGCTGTCGTTGATGATGATGATGATGACAGTCCTGAACTGTCGTTGATGATGATGATGATGACTGTTCAGTCCTGAAAAACTATAATCATAGGGCTTCTTTGAAAACGGAGTCTACCTGCGCTAAATTAACAAATATTCATAATTTGCAGTGGTCCTCTTCTTCAAGGAATTCAGTTGCGCTGATTTTGTAGATTACCTCTATGCCCGCTTTCCGTCAAGCTATCGAAACAGCTGATGGGACACTCAAATGACGGTTACAGTTGTTCTGTAACGTCATGCTGTCTAGTGGTAACTAACTGAGCCTAACAACGCATTGGGGAAAGTGAAGTAAATTATTTTATTTCAGATTCACACCGGTGCCGCATGATTCCAAACAGTTATGGTTCGTCTGAAAGAAGCTAACTGAAGGCAGATCTAGGTTGATGAGCGATATTGTATGTTTGTTGTTCATTTGACAGTGGATTTCCTCCGTTGTTCGATTAAATGCTGAAAGATAAACAAAGCCGACGAGCAAACAGTTACCTTAACTTAGATTCATGATTCAACGCGGCATGTGTTAACTAACTCTTCTTGATTAAAATGAAGCGCTTGACATTTTAGCCTTTTATTAACAGGGAGATAAAATCTGAAAAAGGTATGAAAATAGTGACACGTGGCAACTTTCTGACACGTTTGTCGTAAAAGTTCGCGTATTCCCATCGTTAACCGAATTCGAGTGAGTAGATAATACTGGAAGTACTGATCACTAGTGAGTAGAAGTATAACCACTTAAACCGATGCTTCAAGAGAACTCCCAGGGAAGCTGGGATGCCCTCACTGTCTCGATCACCATGAAATCAACGAATTTCAGTGCACTAGAGATGGACCCGACTGAATGGCCAAAAACGCTCAAAAGACACTGACGAATGGACTAAGAATATGCAGCAAAAATTGTGGACTTACGTATAATTTTATCTGAATTGAGTGTATCAACCTGGGAAGGTGTTGGGGAATGAGATGCTCCCCGAACAGAGCTGCGAATTCGTTCAACCGGTATCCTAATTCGAGCAAATGAAACAACACTGTGATTGGGTCCTCGACTATCTCACCGACAAGAGAATTCAGGCCGGAGGCTTGCTGGAGCAGTTCTGTTTCAGTTGGGCTATAATGCAAACTGTCTAATAACTGAACCAACATACTTGGCAAACAGCTCAAATGTTTACCAATGGTTTCACATGCTCGGAGGTCACGATTCCCAATTTGTTCTTCCAGTACGATCAAGTCCTGTATAAGTAACTGAACCGTTTCCCGGATACGCTGCAATATCTCTTCTGAATGAGGGGTTAACTTGTTCGAGTTGAAAACTAATGAATCAACCGTACCGTGACGGTCTGGATCATAGTTTCGATGCCTAGGAAACAGATCCACTTTACATGTGGGCGGCTGTTTGCTGAGAGGCTGATTCGTTGAGCAACATGCAACTGGTTTCCGCACAAATGTCGCCTGTTTGTTGAAGTAAAAGGGATCTAAGATGGTTTTATCCTCTAACTCAGAGTCTGGCCTCACTAGTGACGGATAAGGGTTGCTGAAGTTCTGATAATCAGAATGTAGTGAATGACCAGATGAATGTGTTTTTTTGAGAGACTGCCTTGCACTCGATTGCGAATGACTACAGTCGGCTGGATCATGTTCAGTAGCCTGAAATTGATTTTGCCTACTGCTCAGCTTGGAGCAGCAATAGGATTCACAGAGATCATCCTCGTTCCTGCATAAAAATTTCTCATTGTGTGCTACCAACGTGTTTAATACACTGCTTCTTTCTCGCTGTTTGCAGTGAACATGTGACGAACTATTTCTTGGAGCTACACATTGAGTGTTGGTTCTCGTAAAACCGTGGGTAGCACACCGGCTTCTGCTCCACGAAACTGACTGAAATCTAATTCGAGACATGTCTAAAACAGTTTTATCGAGCGCAAGCAATGAACACTTCCGCGAAGACATACGTGACTGAGTCCGATGGTGGTTGTAGCATGAAGCTGAAGTGTTTAAATGTTGGTTATTCCGCTGCATCAAGAACGATGGTTTTAGTAAACCTGTAGATCGCTTTCGGAGAATCCTTTTGGGTCTGTAATAACGATCACACTCTGAGCTGATCAGGAGCGCTCCTTGCCCCACCAAGTTGTTGACATTTGTGTTTGACAGAGCCTGATAAAATGATTCCCCATCACCGTTGACCGGTGTTCCAGCTGGTGAACATTCACTGTAGTACTCACCGCTGTCGCAGAAGCTTCGTTTCTGCTCGAAAAACTCCCATTCTACTTCATTGTTTGTATCCATGTTGACCGCGTCCATTGGTTCTGAAATCGTACTACGAACAGCACGTGATGCAACACTATCAACCAGCTTCTCTGAACTTGCCAATTCTTCTAGTGCAAGAACTCGGGTTAAACTTTTCTGTTGTTGGCTTACCGTGAGACCATTGCTTCCAGAGTGATCGTAGACCAGGTCTTCGGAGTCATTCGGACATCGATGAATTCCTTTGTTATCTATAAGAACGGTAGTCACAGCTGATTTACAGGGAGCATGGAGTATATATGGGGTACCTGTCCATCCACCATGGGGACAACCCGGATAGTGATGTTCACATGGTACAAACCTATAACTAGGATTACCAGTCATCGCACATGCCGAAGTATCGTTTGGATTGGCGGATGCACATTCACAACAGCTGCAGCATACAGAACCTGGAGCAATTATGTATATGTCATGCTGCACGGTGGAAACACATGTGTCACAATTACAGACGTCGGACACTGAATGTGTTGGCGACCCGACATTCCGATCTTGTGCAGACAGCCCGCTGGTCTTTTTGGCAGCCTCTCCCATAGCTCTCTGGTTCAAAACAAGACCGGTCAGGTTATCCTTTCTTAAGAAACTGGGAGATTCCCTTTCTGGAGAGGACTTCTCACCCAACGGAGTTGGACTAGTTGTGAAATCACGAAATTTCCTTCGCTTTTCGGAGATATGTTCAGGACTGTGTTCTATGGATTCGTATTGTGTCGACTGATTGAATGAGGACCGAGTCACTCGTCGTTCAGGCTTTCCCAACAGAGGCTGGTGTGACGTTTGCTTTTGGTTAGGGGAAGTGGTCATTAAATTAGGTTTTGACGCTCTAAGTCTGCGCCACCGCTGCTCCAGTTCCTCCGGTGGGCGCTGTTCATTTCCTGAAACCATCAGCATTATCTGGTCCCAAGGAAGTCCACTAACATCCATTAAACGCGTAGTTACTGTCTTCTCCTCAGTTACTATGGTCGAATCATCAGTTACGTGAGTCAATGACATGTTTTGAGTTGCGTCTGATGTTGTGGAGGATAAAACTCGTCCCGGGTATTGTCTCAGTTTATTTTCGGTCAACCGTTCCAAGTGATCTTTTGCACTGGTACGGTAGACAACTTCGTCCGGTGACTCCGACGGTATGACGGTACGTTGTTCTAAATTACCCATCTTAACTGAAGCTAGAGTTGACGATCCCAATTCTTCATTCGGAAATTCTACAGATATTCGGGGAATGAGTCGTCTTTTTTTAAATGATTTAGCTGAATCCATGGAACTACGCTGTCTCTTTTTGACTTCTTGTTCAATCGAGAGGCCACTGGACAAAAGACTGTCATCTGGGTCAGTCGGTGAACTACTGATTGGCTCACGAGCTACAGGAAGGCCTGAGGGTAAATCCACTGCATCAGAAGAGGTGGTTACTGTGCGAACCAGTGAGAGGGATGTGAATGATTTTGTCCTTGTGCGATTGCTGGAGGCATGTGAGTCATTGGACTCAGTTGAATGATCTCGAATATTGGATTTTGATGACCGTCGCCGAAAATGAGATCGAGAGTACCGGGGACTTTTGGTAGGAGAAAGCCTCAAATCCGGTGCTGATAATGACGTAGTTTCCGACTGTTTGCCTGGAGTACCATTTTGAGCTCTTTCGGGCCTATGGGTTTCATGTGATTGTCTTCTGAAGATAATTGGTGTTTGACCACGATCTCCACCATCTCTTGTGGACGGACCGCTCCGGCTATCCAGAGTGCTTGTTCTGAACGAGTGAGATGCGCCAGACGATGGAGAATGTGGTACGCGTCCAGCTGATCTGCTATCACCCAAAGAAATCGAGCGAAGCGCTTTTTTCGTTGGGCTGGAGCGGGACCCGGAGTTTTCGGATTTGCTAGATTTTTTGCCTTTTGGACAACAGCTAAATAATTTGCTTTTTGGACTGCTTGTGTTCTTCATACTTTTACTGCTGGACAATCCGCGTTCGAAAGAGCTTAGCTCTGATGAGTCTGTCGAATGCATTTCTGGGCTACTCAAGAGATGTCTTGTTGTTTTCCTGACCGGTACTCGATGGTCAGCACCAAGTACGGAGGTAGGCACTGAAGCCTGTGACTTGAGCTGTTCCGGCGGGATGTCTATTACAGATGTAGCCGGGACCTCATGTACTGACCGCTTCACTGACTGCGTGGTTCTAACTTCTTCTCGAGAGGACTTCCTAATCAGCCGAGTGGAAAGTGTTGGCCTCCCAAATGGACTTCGTAACTCCGCTTGGTCATGCTTTGGTTGGGCTGTTGGGCGACTGTAACTGCTTTCCTGTCCAGGGTCCAGTGGAGACATAGCTTTAGTACGGCCATCTTTTGGGTGGGTAGTTTTAATCTTCCCTGACAATGGCTGTGGTGTGCTGGTACCTTGTGTTCTATTCTGATCGTCGGAGGCGACACCTGGGAATGGTTTGCGTGTTTCTTTATCCCAGGATGAGAATGTGTCTGTTGTTGGTCTGGACTTTACGGGGACCACTATTGGGATATCCACGTCCGAGAGAGATTTCGTAGCTCGTTTGGGCAAAGCTGAAGGATGTCTATCCCAGATGGGAGAGCTGGCCCCCTGGGTACGGAGCGTATCAACCGATGCAATACCGGGATATTTATGATCCTCTTCGTCCTCTTCGATTGGTCCAGAATAAGGTGAATGAGGACTGTGAATTCCAACTTCCCGTATTGAACTTACCGAATTTCCTGGTTCTGAACGGAAGCTCGATCCTCTTGTCGACGGAAATGTGTTACCTTTATCCGGTTCACTCAAAACTGAGGACGAACCCGGTGTTTTTGTGGATATTCTCGGCATTAGTTGCTTTGGCGGCATGCGTTTGACTGGGAACCCAGGTAATCCTGACTGAGCAACCGACCCCCAATGATACAACGGAGTTGAGGTTACTACGGCTGCAACGGAATCGTAAATAGGAACCTCCTGCTTTGGTATCACTGGAAGTTCCCACATGTCGGATGACACCTGGGAAATAACTCTAGACGACTTCATGGTACTCTTTGTTAGTACAGTCGAAACCTCAGACAAGTGTGTAGATTGACCAGAAGGTGTCGATCGTGTGGAGGCGTGTTTTCTTGGTGTTGTGGATCTGCTTTCAGAGGGTGGCAAACTCGATTGTTCAGATGTCGTCCTAGATAGCAGATGTGTACTTTTCTTTGACCTAGTTTCAGACTGTGACACAATAGTTCTTTGGATAAATCCTGATTTAAGATCACCTTGAAATGGAGACGTCTCGAAAGTCGTAACATCTGCGCTGGAACGAAAATCACTGCTAGCTTTTACAACTTGAATGGTGGGACTCAGGGCCTTTGGTACTTTTGGCGTTCTTCCACTTGATGCACTGTGGGTGGCAGTAAGACCGGGTTTTGGTGGGACTGATCTTTCAGTTATCTGTGTATATGTGAAAGAGGTTCTGGTGGGCAATAAAGATAAGCGCGGGGTCATTTTTGACACGGTATGGGGAGATTTAGTGGATGACTTCTTCGGAGTTGTACGTAGTTGGGCCGCTTTAGAAGTGCACCTTTCATCTATTTCAACTGTGTGTTTGTGTATGGCTCGGTCCGAAAACCGGAGTGGGGAATCAACATTAAGGTTTTCTGGTCTTGCAAACTGAGTAGAGCTAGGTAGGTTTGTCTCTTCTGATCCGGAAGCTTCACACAGTCTGTTAAGTTCCCGACTTGATCCATAGGGATAAAATGCCTCATAGTTGTAACGGTAACTTCCGAATCTTTCGACGTAATCATCTTTACGTACACACATGTGCCCTGGCCGTGGTCCACTTTTTCCCGGATGATAAATATAAGTCACGGCGTAAGGGCTTGAACTCGACTTAAATTGTGTGGGACTATGGTGACTTGGCACACTCAGAGAGCGCGATGGGCGTGGTTGTTTGAAAGATGCCGGTCGACAAATGGATGGCTCAAAACGTGTTCTATAGGGGCTTGACTCACGTGATCTGTTTTCCCTGCCACACGAGCTTGCTGCACGAAATCGCCGATACATAGCTACTGGAACACACGTCTCCATAACTGGGAGGTCTGAGATCCTGTCGCCCGAACGATAGTTGCAACACACTGGTGCTGACCGGTCAGGTGAAGCTGTAAGTGAACAAACGGATTCTCTGCCAGCCTGTGGTTCCGCTTCACAATCTATCGATTCCCGCACGTGCACTCCTAGTTGTGGTGAGTATGGAGAATTCGGCTCTTTGGGGCTTCCGTAACCACACTCCAAATTAGTAGGGTCGGTATTCCGTAATAATTCTTTTAAGGAACTACGTTTTTGAATGGACCTGAGATTTGGGCGTTCACAGTCACGAGACTTTTGGTCACCAAAAGTTCCAGTTGGTGAAAGACTTTGTCCCTGACGCCCTAGCGGATTGCAATCTGTTTTCTCCCGATCATTAGGAAATGGCTGTGCAGGGTAGTAGTGTTCAAAGTGAAATTGGCGTTCATATACGGATCCACGGTGACATTCCATGCGAGGTTTGTCCTGTTGCACGTGGCCAGAATCACTTTTATGCATGTGGGTAATGATTTTTGGCGAAGCACCAGGACTGTCTGGAACTGGTCCACATGGACAGCATACACATGGATCCGCTGTATAAGTCCTAGTTAGTGGAACGTGATTTCCCGTTTTTGGTGGTGACGGGCAATCGGAAAATGGGTCTGATCCATGAAAGTTGCGGTCAAATTTAAATGACTCACTGCGTGCTATAGACTGTGTTGTACTCGAATCCAGGTGAGCCATAACCAAAGCAACTTAACAGACAGCAACAGATTTTACATGTTCAACCTCTCAAGGAAAACATAGGTTCTGCTGGCTTGCCTTCGATCGATAATTTCGAACTGGTTTGGTGTCAGGCGGCGTACCACGTGAATCATCACGTTCTTCTCAATAACAGACGACAGAAAACAAACGCAGATACGTTCAGAACTAAAGTTCTCGACAGGGAACAGCGCTTCATGGAAAGGGGTATTTTTGTCCTCTTCTCTGCCATGCTTCCTGTATGTGATCCGGACTAAAATTGATCAACCCAGGGTGTAAATTAATATGGCTCACTAATTTGTGCGAATGCTTCAGATGAACAACCAGGTGATGACATATTCCATGGAATTTTTAGGTACAGCTCGGACGCACAAGGTTTGTGCCGGACTTGTAAAAAGTGGCCTCTAAGCGGGGAAACATTTAGGTTGTAGGATTCAGTGCTACAAAATATTGGACATAACCATTGAGGCCAGCACTAATAGAACTTTCATGTGCTCCCTTATAAATGAAGCTTAAATACAATTCTAAAGATGTCATTTTCTTGTGGAATACTGGTGAAAGGAAGGACGCCTTCGCTGCGGGGTTATCTATCAGAAGATGTCGAGTGAACAGTTACAGACTATTGGACAGGGAAGCAAAACTCTCATACATATCTTGTTTACAAAAGCTGAATATCCATCTTCTCCTTGAACGCGTTTTCCTGAACTTCCCTGGATATTCATTGACTGTTCCTCAAATGCAAGCAAATGCGGCTCCACAAATTCCGTAAGGGATCTCACTTTTCAAGAGACGCGAAGTGGATTTACAAGAAAACATACTACTCGCATGCCCATTAGTAGTATTGTAACGTGGGATGTCAGGAAGTCAGCGGTATTCGACGTACGAGAGGACGGCACACGTCAGTTCTGAAATGTGCAGATATATGGACTGGTATTAATGAATCCACACAGTATACACAGCACACATGCGCACAGGTCGGGTGGAACAAGGGAGAAGGCCGGAGTGTGGTAACGACACATGTGTATTGACCGAAACCGAAACCGGAAGCTGAGGGTGTGTACAGGGTCGGGTCAAGGTCAGTTAGGGGGTGTACAAGCGGGATACTCTTCCCTGTCCAGGGCCCGTGGTGATTCGTCCGTGGTACCTGCAGTGGGGGAAGAGAGAAAGGGAGGGGCACGTATAAGGTCATATGAGAGACGGGCAAGCAGATACATTCGAGTTTCAAATGCGTTACAGTATCAACCGTTACACTGATATTGGAACTGGTACTGGAGCTAGCGTTGGAAGCAGAATCGCCGTTAGCCAAACGCTCTAGAGATATGAGGTGTTCTCGGCTAAACCGTATAAGCCCATTCACCGGAGGAAGGTTAACCTACCCAACGGCACATTGACGGTGTCCCTCGAATGGTGGTTAAAACATGTAAATCAGTTGACAAGATCGGTGAGCAAGCCAACAGCTAATAACTTTTTCTTTGTTGGCTGGAAACCTAAAAGCATAACGTAATCCCATTCCCAAAACCCCATTACATTATCAACAAATTAAATAACTAACTTACTTGTGGTGTCATGCTGTCGTTGATGATGATGATTTGTGGCCGAAAGCTTTGATGTTCAACTGCCAGTCGAGGGTTAAAATCATTATGGAAACTCGTGACACGCACACTGCTGGTGAGTCTCAATAACGATGGAATAGCTGTACAGTGCTTCTTAGCTTTTGACTGTAGGTTGTCTTTACTTACAGGAAAATCTCTAGTGGAAAATGCACAATGATCAAACTGCTGACTGCGCCATATATTGGTGTACCGCACAAAGGCCCTCAAAGAAAGAAAGGAACTTATACAGCGTGGTTCAAGGACCCTAAAAGTTAGTAAGACCTAAGAAAAGTGGCTTCTCTGTTACAATTTTCAGCCCAAATTCCGTCTATTTGGACGAAAACTCGCCACACAGTTGCTAGCCATGGGGTTATTGCACAAATACTAGAATGCTCGGAGATTCTACTGAATGACGACATTGTCAGTTATACTGTTTGATTACCTTGAGATGTCTTTCGTAAGCTAGTTATGTCATATATATATATATATACATATATTGCGTGAAAACCATTTTGACATAAAAATGCCCTTACTGCGGGTTGTAGAACACGACCTCCATTGTGAAACGGGATAGTCTCAAGGCGGAAGGAGTTGTTGAAAGACCATTTGGCCGGTATTTAAGCTTCACGTTTCCAACTAGGGTGGTAGGAGTAGCTGCGGGCCACACTGGGCACAACATAAGCCAATTGGTATTAGGCCTAACACAGTTGGTTGATTACAACGCTTGCTTGTTTTGCACCGATTTATATTCCTCACTAGGTCATAATGACAATGTGGTTTCATTTGATGAAGACGATTCTAGGTTATCTTTTATCGTCAAACATCGTAACTTAACACTTTTTACCATAAGGGAGGTTCACTTAATGTATACACCCATCTGTCCAGTGGGGCGATTGCAGTTCAGGGGCAACTTCAAGCTTTTATACGGAATCCGCAATTCTTAGGGTTATATTGCACGAAACATTTATTGTTTGACTGAAGGCGTAAAGTTGCCAGATGCTTTCATTTTACAGCTAAAGTGAGCATAATCCTTTTCAAATTGGCACTTTGTCAGACCAACCCACCGAAATAATCGAACCGGATTTTGTCCCAACTGTCACAAATAACAAGACAAAGTACGATTTATCATAACGTGCTATCTGTGGTTTAGCCGAGAATACCGATTGTTTACCTCGGCCTTTCTGAAGCCAAGCGCAAATCATTCTCTGCGTAGTATGAGCGCTGTGGAAGCACCGTGAGACAGTGATTATCTGAAGGCAGGGGTTCACGACAAGTTCTGTGGATGGGAAACAGATAGAAAGCTCATGAGCCGAAGCCCCATAAGCAAGGTTGTTCATCACCAATATTTACATATAGATCAGTCAAAACAGCAGACAATGAACACTGCGTTTGTTATACCTAGCATTTGGGCGAACTTGTTTTTCGCATTCGTAACTTGCCCACATATGACATTACTTTCCGCAGCAGACACAATAAGCCTACTGTTCACCCAGGCAACTGAACAGGGTAACAAGTTCAGGGCCTGTGTTGGGCTCGAATCAGCAATTAACACTGAATAAAGACGATTGCATTTCGTCCTACTCCTCAGGAGTTGTCCACAAGACTGCAAGCATCAGTATACAATTAGGTGAATAGGACATTTGCGATCAGACGCGATACTGCACCTCTTTACGCTTCGTCAGACCAGATGAAGCGTACTTTTAAGTTACGGTCCCCCGACGCTTCATTCGGCCGTCGGCTCTTTGGACACGTCATCCGGTTGCACTTTTGCCCATACGTAACTGAGGTGCAAACCACTGTCACGTCACAAATGAACTTGGGCTGTCGTCTGAACCTCAGGTAAGAAAGACAGACCATGCTAAATCCGTCCTAAAGACAGTTCCCGTAAAGCTAAACGTATTCTGTAATCAACTAACCAACTAACCGACATTCTCTGCATAAGATAGGCATCGAGATACAGGTCTGTGCCCTCCGTAAGTGAACGGTGTCGGTTTGTCTGAATGAGCCTTTCAGAGCGAAGCGCAGGGTAAGCTGCATCTCCTATGGGATAGCACATGCGAAACAATTAGTTGAAAAGGAAGTTTTGTCTTCCTTCCAGTTTGTTGAACATTCGGTGTTGCGTATTCGACTGCTACTTAGTTGGGGCTCCATTTCAAGCGTCGCACTAAATTTCAGTGTGTATTTTAGGAAACCGAATGGGGTGCTTGAGGTTGCAGAGTGTACTGGCCGACGTTTCGCACTGCTCCGTTTGCTTCTGCGCAGTAAAACTGAAGGCGCCTAGAACGCAGTGAACCCTACAGAATAAAACTTGGCTGGTCCGTTTTTGTTGATATGATCGTGTTCCCTATCATTCCGGTTTATAAACTGAGTTCCTAAGTGTGGGAATCAGAGTCAGGTCCAGATGCTTTCAGGACTTAGTTCGCACCGCCCATCCTTTTCAGTGCAAAATAATAGATCCTCAGACTTTCGCTGTTCAACTTAATTTATTCCAAGCTACACTGATACTAATCACAAATAAAGAATGAAGGTAAGGGTTAGTAGTATGATGTCTTTAGTGCATATGCAGAAATAAATGCAGGCGAGAAAAACCAGGTTATGAAAACACTAAATCCCTCCTTGATTTTGAAAAAAAATGTCAGTTAACGGGAAGCTCGTTACAACTTCTTATTGACTAGTTGTGGGCATCGCTGAGTCTCGTGGCCGATACGCTGATAAAAAATACGTAAAATGTACAGATGACCAAGTTCTCCACAATTTTGGAGTGTGCCTATAATGAACATAGATGTTACGCTGAAGACCTCGGTTATCAGAGAAACCACATGGTGACGAGTAATGAAACACAGTGGAAAAAACGTGTTAGCCACGATATTAAGCATTACCACTGATTTTTAAAGAAGCTCATTCAGCTCATATCTTATTAAGCTTATGTAAGTATATTCGGATAAAATATCTGCACTCGTGCTTCACTGAAGCTGCTGTTTACTAGAGTAGTCAAATAGACTACTTTATTGTGAATTTGGTTGTACTGCAAAAGCTGACGAAGCTCTTTTATCCGATCTATCCCAAGCTCTGTAAGATTTATAGTTCACAGAATACTTCCTAGAAAATGCTGCTACGCTGGTCCGTCAGCAAAAATGTACATAAAGAGAGAATCTTAATGAAAGCTGACAATTTTCTTTCTTCTCAACGAATAGTCGAAATTCACAGTTTTGAGCAATTAACACTAGAATGACTCTGAGTGACAGTCAAGGCATTTCATACATTTCTAACTCCTCAGTGGTGGCCCAGAACGAAACACAATCTCGTGGCATGTAGTTTTGGATGCTCCAGGTATGTCCAACCTCCACTGGTACTAGTACGTTTGCCCCGCAAGTTGGTTTTCAGAGATGGCCAGATATATGCTGTGTTAGGGGACTTTAATTAGAGCGGAAACATAATTTCCCTCGCCTTGGTGAGTTC